AAAACTTCTGTATGGCTTCTGGTACTCTTTTGTGATTTAACACCTTGATGCTCACAAGGGTTTGCTGAGACAAAGAATCTATGACAAAGTTGCACCTTTGGCCATCTAGCTTTCCTGTCACATAGATGCTGTGTGTGCTTGGCATTTTACACCTAGCTGTAGGGACTTTCATGATGGGGGTTGGTGAGTGTCTCTCAACACCAACCACTAGTGGTCTCCTTGAGGCTGGCTTGTAGGTAACATTCCTCCTACACTGGCTCCTCAAATGTCCGTGCTTTTCACAATTCCAACAACCTTTCTGGATACCAGCTTTTCCTGCTGTGGCATCTCCCCTGTGTCGAAGTTGCCAACATTGAGCTCTCTTGTGCTCTTCTTGTTTCTTTTCTTTTTCCTCCAACCACTGCTGTAATTTCTCTTCTCATTCTTCTTGTTTCTTTTCTTTTTCCTTCAACAGCTTCTGTAATCTCTCTTCTTGTTTATTTTGTTTCTTTTGCTGTTCTTGTATTGCTGCCATCAAATCTGCTAAGCTGTAGTTTGATTTGCCGCTTCTCGTTTCCATTTTTTTTTGTCCCACTCTCTGACACCAATTTGTTATGTCTCCGTTCGTTCGTTAATTAATTTTCCGTAAATTCGTTCCAACGAAACTTTAGTGACACAAGTCCTTTCTTAAATAAAAGTGGTTTATTCTTTCCAAATACAACTTTAATTATACACTTAATTTCAACACTCGCTCTATAACAACGCTATAATTCTCAAAGAACGTCTCATGTACTCGTGCTCGACAATACTCAGTTCAATTACACACTCTCTGACTGCAGTACAATTACTCACTGACTCTCCGTCGCGTCGTGGCCAGTCTTATATATACCAGACTACCCCTAATCTAGTAATCTCCCGACAATTCACGAAGGAACAGGATCACACAACACCATCATAAGCTGAAGTAGGTTTGATACTGTGCTCTTCACAAAATGATGTTAATGTCAGAACAATTGAAATTTCAGCTAATTTTACTAAGATGCTTCTGTAGCCAAGCATGAACTGCATAAAGTAAACTTTATCTCTTGCACTTTTCTTTTTGTCTTAGATACATGTGATTTGGTGTCTTGGTTACTAGCAAGATTTTTCAAATAAAAAAACAGTAACTTTGTTGTTTTTCAAGCACCTTCACACTCCCCAGTATGTTTAATAACCACCTAATGCTTTTAAGTCCACTAAAATGATCAAGCTTCTAATCATGTATTTCTCCTATTACTATCAGTTCCTGGCTCTTTTTTTTGAGGAATAGTAATACATCTTGGACACTGCTTTTATTTTTCCTTCCGACGTATCTAAACAGGGTACACTTTTGACTGCATCAAGCACAGCCAATTCCAGTCTGTAAACTATGCAATTATGACTATTTGTGGTACACACGCTGTCAGGCATGTAGCCACTCCTGCTTCCTACGCCACCACAACAAAAGCTCCATCAAAGATTATACTGCACAGACAACCTTCTTCTGCAACAGTTCCTTTTCAACAATACCAGACTAAGTGATTTTGTTAGCTAAAACCAACACAAACCTGCTGTTTTCAGGAAAATCTGCTGCCTGATTTCGCTTGGTGTGTACAATTAATTGCTCCAATAAAGCCAGGATAGGCATAGTTATCGACGTCTCCTATTACTATCACTTCCTGGCTCTTTTTTTGTGGAATAGTAATACATCTTGGACACTGCTTTCATTTTTCCTTCCGACGTATCTAAACAGGGTACACTTTTGACTGCATCAAGCACAGCCAATTCCAGTCTGTAAACTATGCAATTATGACTATTTGTGGTACACACACTGTCAGGCATGTAGCCACTCCTGCTTCCTACGCCACCACAACAAAAGCTCCATCAAAGATTATACTGCACAGACAACCTTCTTCTGCAACACTTCCTTTTCAACAATACCAGACTAAGTGATTTTGTTAGGTAAAACCAACACAAACAAGCTGTTTTCAGGAAAATCTGCTGCCTGATTTCGCTTGGTGTGTACAATTAATTGCTCCAATAAAGCCAGGATATGCATAGTTATCGATGTGTCCTTAAATTCATCCCCATTTGCTGCCTGTAATTTACACAAACCAACAAATTTATTCAAGAGCTGTTCTTCCTTGGCTATATAAAAGGCACTGAAAAAAGCCACATCATTATATCAAATGTGACATGCTCATCTTAGTGACAATTGTTGCCATAAACATCTGGCCAAAATTGTGTGTGGCTGTATGGACATTTGCACATTTTTTGTGAGTTGCAGAATTGTTATGGGATTTTATGCAATCTTTACCCCTGACTAAAGGACTTTCACCATCTGTGATCTGAATGAGTTTCGGACAATTCATTCTTTATACCACCATGTATGAGCCATAAATGTACTTTAGTCCACAGTGGTATGAAAGAACACTTCCTTTTTTTTTTCATATTCATTTTTTTACTGTTTGCCTCCTGGTGCTATGGAAGAAGTCATTTATCTCTGGCTCCACAGCTACTAGCAAAATAATTTCACAGATCAGCCATATTTTGAAAGAAAAGATTGGCCTTTTCTCTCCTCATGCTAAACAGAGGCTCATCAATGATGATTGGCTAACACAGTTTGATAATATGTTGCAAGAGGAAACAGAAAAATTGTTAATGTTTGTATCTTTCCTTCTGAATTTCTAATTGAATATGAAAATTTGTTGAGTGCTAATGTTGTTTTTTTGTAGTTTGGTTATTATGAGCTAATTTTATTTTTTTGAGATATTAATGCTGATGATGGAATTCAAAGAAATTCCGAAACATCCTTATTAAAGATGTTTTTGGATTGCTGTGTTTTTAATATTTATTATAAAATTTCGTTTTCCACTTGATGAATCAGTTGTAAGTAAAAGCTGTTTTAAGTATAAAGTACATGTAAGGCAAGATATATAATGAATTATACTGCAAAGCTGCTAATTAGATGTCTTTCAACAAATGAAAACAAAAAATTAAAATAAAAAAACCAGTAACAGCAGTTTCAAGATAGACTAGATATGAACTGAATGCATTTAAACTCAGTAGTCCAAAAAATGTCTCGTGTCTCTGCAAGTTTTGATGTATACAAGGGAGAGGGAGGTAACAATGTAGTGAGGAGTCCAGAGGAACACAGCACCTAAGACAGTGCAATGGAAGAAAAATGGAGGAGCCTAAAGGATCCCAAGAAAGTTCCAGTGATTGTGCAACACCCACTGAAGGCATTGCATGTCAGCAGGACCCCATGGGGAGGAGGGATTCCATGGAAGCCCAGGTCCCTAAAAGAGAGAACTTTGCACACAGAAGGAGAAGTTGTGGCTTTGGAAACCAAGCACTCCATATCTCCCAAGCATAGAGGAGAAGACTGGGCTCTGCTGAGATAACTGTTGAAAAACACTGCCAAATGAATACAATATTGGGTGACATGGGATTTCTCCAGTTTGATAAGCCATCCCAAACAAGATGCCTCCTGAAAGAGGAAATGGGTATGGTGAGCTTGTTGGGAAGAGGCCAAAAAGAACTAGTTGTCCATGTGATTGTGAAATCACAGTCCCAGTTCATTAATATGACAGGCAAAGGCCCTGAGTATGCAACAGAAAACATATGGAGCCAATGCCAGACCAAAAGGGAAAGCACAAAACCGAAAAACTTGATCCTATGAACAAACTAAAGGTAACAATGAGATGCAGGAAAAATAGGAATATGAAAGTAAGCATCTGAAATGTTGACCTGGATCATCCAAAGACCTGGAGTGAACAACCATCTGAGGGTGAGAAAAGACTCTATGGTGAAATGTGAGAGGTCTATGAAGCAGTTGAGGTGGGAGAGGTTCAGTAACCAGATGCCAATCCCCTGTTTTCTTGGGGACAACAAACAGACAGGAATAAATTACTAGAGAAGGGTGAAACACTTGTTTTATAGTATCCTTTCTCATGAGATCTGGCATCACCTTGGAGAGATGCTGGCAAGAAAGTGGATCCCAAAGAGGAGGGTGAAAAAAATGAAAGAGATAATGGAGGAGAAGTGGAAAAACGAAGAAATAGTGCTTCTACTAACACTTGAAGAACCTAGGAATCTGCTGCAAAAAGATGCCACAAATGAGCAAGCCTGGTAAACTGCTGGAACCTAAGGGGTAGTCACCGACAATACTGGCATCTGAAAAAGCGACAATGGGCAATCTTCTGACTCATAACTGAAACACAGGAAAGTGGAACTGGTAGAGATGAGGAACACACAAAAACAGGGACTAGAGAGGATTTGGAAAGATGAGAAACAAGAGAGGAGATAGAGGAATACAGGCTCACAGTCTTCACCCAAGATTTAAGTATCAGGAACATCCCAAAAACAGACTGGTGCAAGAAAGAAGCCAGGCAAAGCTCAAGCAGATGCACATGTGACAAAAGAGTATCCTTACCAAGTAAGTCCAAAAAACAAAGCAGCCATATATATGGAGGGTTAAAGCAGAAGAAGATATATGCACCAATATAGGGAAAAGGACACACAAATCCACCAAAAACCCCTCAGGAGAATGGTGGATAGCTTCAGAGAGGAGATGAATAGTTGACAGATAACAGAGGATAGTCATGAGGGTAAGACAAAGATGAGAGAACTGGGCAGTGGAAAAATGAAAAGTGGCAGTAGGATCAGAGTCCCATGCTTGAATCACTGATTCCAAGGTCTGAGAATCAAGAGATGTAAACTCTGATCGATGGAATCACAAAGCATGCAAGTCAGCCAAATGTAGGAGTCTATGAATATTGGTACCTGAATGCAGTTGGGTAAGGAATTAGTGAGGGGTAAAGCCAAAAAATTGGACGTCAGGCCAGAATGAAGAAAGGAGGGGTAGAAATCATATGAAACAGGAGGAAGAAACAAAAGGTAATAAACCTCAGAGATCATGTACAGAAAGGCTGAGGAAGGACGAGGGAGATCCATAGGGGTAGACTGAGAAGAGCTGCTAAAAAGACTGTCCAACTCTTCATCCTCAGGAACAAATTCTCCAGGAAATGGGGGATCCAACAATGGCTCAGGAGACATTGCAGCCCGCATGTAAGAATGTAATTCATGATGCACCAAGGCTGAGACCTCCTCCACAAACATTGTGGGGCCCAAAGCCACAGTAGTATTTAGTGTGGCAGGATCCATACAGAAGCTGTAGTTGTTACATGAAGTTAAGAGTTCATCGTGTGGAAAATAAAAACTTTTCAGAAGAAAAATTAAAATATAAATGACAACAAACATAAAGTTGTCAAAAAGGTAGCAGAAAGTTAAAGTGAACATGAAAATGCAAAGTACTAAGTGAAAATGTAGCATGACTGCACTTGTGAATGCCAAGTTGAGAAGTGATGAGTGGTCTACAGTATAGAGAAAATCTATTGCATTAGGAGGGTGACACACTCCTGTTGGTGAAGGGTTGTTGCATGCTCATTTGAATGCTACAGAGCAACTATACCATGTGTAAATACATGAGGGTAGGTGGGAACATCATGGTTAGTGGCAAGCAAAATTTATGCAAATACAGGACAGCACAAATCAAGGAAAGCTCTTATGTAAGTGAAGGAAAAGTATTATATCTAAAATAGTAATTACAAGAGAAAGAATAGGTTAAATTAAATTTATAACTAGCAGACTAAAAGTGCTTGTCCCATTCACTTAAGTTTATCAATTTTCTATTTACTAAGGAAAACAAATACTGATATTTGGATAGTATATTCTGCATTACTTTTGACAGCTACAAGTGACAAGCAACAAAAAGTACACCTGTATTGATTAAGGATTATTAACTGATTTATTCTCTAAGATCATTTACTCAGTATGACTGTCATTACCTAACAAAATATACAATAACATCATACATGCAATGTTTAGATGTTTAAAAGAATGGTAATCTACCTGATCACGTAAAAGGTATTCAAACTCAAGTACACACCTGGAAATTTCATTAACTCCACTCTATGTCCTTCTCTTTTAAGTACTTCAACTAGTTTGTGACACTGAGTAGTTTTCCCTGCACGGTCACATCCCTCAAAGACAATAAGAGCTCCTCTTCTCAGAGCTTGATTCATGGTCTTCTGATTTTTCACAAGAGAAATCTGAATGATAAATATAGTTAGTAAATTTCGACTTCAAACTCCTGCAAGGACTAGAAATAACATCCTACTATTTTAAGGATGAGAGAAGCTGTGATATTCTTAAGTAAAGAGTTATACACAGATAAGTCACAACCACAATAACTAGAGGAAGGCTATGTTCCAGCTGGGAGTTAGTCACTGATGAGTATTGGAGATGAATTTTAAGATGTAAAAAAAAAAAAGTTACACAGTTATTTATTTGACTGACTGTGAATGGAATGACAAGTAGGACAAGACTGTCTTACTTACTAAATTTCAAACACACATGTCCAGTTAGAGGACAAAGAAAAGACACTTATCTAACTTTAGCCAATGAAACACAAGAATGCAAAATGACCACTCTGTTCTCAGAGGAAAGTTGGATTAGCAACAGGTGAATATCACTTTCCACTAACTTAGAGTCCAACAAAACTGTGAGAACATAGAAATAATGCAATCTCAAGACGTGGGTTTACAGTGATCAAAACTGAATGCTGTTTGAAAATATAACAATAAAGCTGTAGAAAGGCTAGCAGTTATGATAGTCATGACTACCACAAAGCCATTCAACTCATTTTGGTTGTTCCTAATTGATTAAGACCCAATCTAAAGTTTTTTCTTCAGAATTATAAATCCAATAAAACTTGTAACACTCATAACTTAATACTCTAACAGAGATATAATGCTTAAAAAGTGATGCTTGGCATTTGGTGGACATCAAAGGAGTAATTCATTTCAAACTCCTCAATCCACAGCAATCTGTCAATGCAAAGATTAATAGTCAGCAACTGGAATGTTTAAATCAAGCCCTTCAATCATCAATCATAAAGGTATTCTTCTTCTCCATGACAATGTACGTCCACATGTGGCACATTTGACGCAACACAAGATTATGGAATTGGGTTGGGAATTTCTTCCCCAGCTGCCATATTCTCCAGATATGGCACCATCAGATTACCATCTTTTTCATTCACTGCAACACCATCTTAATGGGAAAACATATGCAAATGTGGAAGGTGTTAAAGAGGACAGTGACATGCTTTTTGCTTCAAAGCCAAGTAATTTCTTTAATCGGGGCATTAAAAACCTGATTGTAAGATGGAAAAGCATCATTGATAAGAATGGAGACTATTTCATTTAATAAATGTTTTGTTTTGATATATATAAGTTGTTCAAGTTTTTTCATCTAAAAAAAAAGCAACATTAATTTCTTGACGATCTAATATATAATTATTGTAATTAGTCATTCAGGAAAGCACATAGGAAATTCGCATTTAATTAGATTTTCAGGATGCTTTCTGACCTTAGTAGCTCTTAGTGTTATTTTTTATAAGCTTTGACTTATATTTTTATTTTGTATAAGAGCATCCTGGTTGATGCTGTATATCTTCACTTTCAAGAAGCCTCAGATAGTGTCTCACAAGGTATTCTTTGGGTGATTTTTAATCCTCAGAGATCTAATAGAAAATGGAGTCAATAAATAATTGACTTAGTAGTAACTGTAGAAAGACTTAAGTCCTTCTTATAAGTCATATTTTCTCAACAATATAAGCCCTTCTAGCTGTAATAGAATTATCAGGAAACTTGAAAATATTGCTTCAACAATCCAAGTTATTTACATAAATACCAAACAATGAAGATCTCACAACAGCTGCCTTAGGAACCTCAACATTCACACTCTTTATACTAGAAAAATGCTTATTTATCATAACTATCTGAATACCAGTTTCATGATACTTCAACACCCTCCATGCTTTCTACCACAAATCAATGGTCTATTCAATTCTTAACTCATATAGTTCATTATTTAAGCCAGTAACTTGAATGAATACTTGGAGAGTAGTACTTTCCATTTCACTGAAAGAGCTGGTTCTATTAAGAATGCTTCTCTGATTCAAAATGACCACAAGATGTTATGACAAGGTCAGATAATCAGTCTTAATATTGAGAATTATAGCTTTGCACTAATGAAAATTAAGGAGAGCTTTCTTCTTGTGTGAGAAGAGTATAAGTTCTGTGATAAAAAAAACAGAAGTACTTGGATTTCAATTGGTGAATGAGACCTAAATAAAAACTTGAAAGAATTTTTAAAATGTATTGCATCATCACACACCCCAGTGGTATGTCTGCAGACTTACAACTCTAGAAACTGGGAAATAAAAAATGTCTAACCATTTTTTTTTCAAATCATAAACTTGTGTTCTCTCATCCTTTTGTTTTCAGAATACATAACAGAAATCAGAGGCATCCAAATACATTACCTTACACTTATTATAACTAAAGTTCATTTTTCAGAAATCTATCAAAGTTAATACTTGATCCAAGAGATTCTGTAGTACCTAAATACTGACAAGTTTAAAGTCATCAGTAAACTTCTTTCATTTATTAACTGTGCCTCTATCGGTATCTTTAACATAAATATGAAAAGGCACAAGTGACTGCTTAAGGCCAAAATTAAGTATAGCTCACAAATATATATGAACTGTTTTAAATAACTAGGCAATATTTACTGAAATTTTGAAAAATGACTTAGATATTTGTGGTATAAGTTCTGAATGGGTTTTGTACAGCCATAATATTTACATACTATAGTATAGCTTAAAGTACCTGAACTACATATAATTCCAATAGTCCTATAAATTATTACATTAACCTTATTCATAAATTTTTAAAATCCTGTTAATAAAACCAAAAATTTCTGTGACATTTAAACTACATTTAAATATTCTACAGAGCTTATAAGTAATATATTTAATTTTGCTGTTGTGATGGGTGAGGGTGGATCTTGGTGGATTAATTGGCCTTTTTCCACATTGTCATTTTTGGTTTGTTCTTATTAGACTAGTTATTCAATCTATGCTTATTGTGTGAAAAGCTAAAACACATTCATAATGCTTTAAGTTTACTGCAGTGCTGTGGCAAACTATGCACTTCTGTGTGTTTATTCTATTTATCATTTCATTTTTTTAAGTGTTTAATCAAATCACAGGTTTTGGCTAAAATAAAGATGAGATTTGTTATCCCTCGCCTAACTGATTAATTGATAAAGTAGTTAAATAATTTTTTCTGTCAACTTTGTTTTTTTTCTCTAAATTTTTTTACAGCCAGTTTCAATTTTACTTTGCTTGAATATGGCAGTGACAACAATTCCCAGGATGTATACAGTAACTTAATACAGTTTGCTTTACCCTGGTAATATGAAACACGAACACCATACTAGGTAAACTTGGACAAAAAGTAAATCAGGCGTAAACTGTAGCAAACCTCAAGTAATTGATTAACAATTTTGGAACAAGTCCATTCTAGACAATGCTGAGGAAAATAATGCAGTTAGTTCAAGTGCAAATGCTTAGATAGGAGTTACTGTGCAAGGATATTGTGTCACCTTCCTATTAGTGGAGGGCTATCAATACATGATGATAACATCATGCACAAGCACAGTTCACATTAAACATATTTTTTAAGTGGAAAGTAGCTCAGACCTCATTGCATGCAAATCTCATAGTCAGATGCTTGAAGATATTGTTACGTCTCCGTTTGTTAATTAACTTTCCGTAACTTCGTTCTGACGAAACTTGCGACACAAGTTCTTTACTTAATAAAACTGGTTTATTCTTTCCGAATACAACTTTACCGATACACTCAGCTTCAACAATCGCGCTAAACAAACGCTATAACAATGAACATCAATAATACTTCTGACCGCAGATCAATTAGTCACTGTCTATCCACACATTACCTTCCCCTCTTTTATATACCAGCCTACCCTATATCCAGCAAGAACTAGAACATTCGCCAAAGTACAGGATAATTCTAGAAAGTAGAGAGCGTGAGAATCACATGATCTCGATGACGCAACTGGATAAAATGTGGTCGGCGAGGTAAATCAAAGGTGGTGCATGCCAACAGGCTTTGGCGTTGTCACGGTCCAGGACATTTCAGTTGTAACGAAATGAGGAACAGAACAAATGACGCTGCTGAAGATGTGTCACCTGAAAAAGCCACTGTTGATGAAGAAACTCTACCCAGTTTAGAGAAAGAAAACTGTGAAACCATAAATGAAGTAACTACTACTCAGTTTTGAGAAAGGAAACGGCGAAGCTCTTGATGAAGTTACTACCACTGATGTGACTGTTATCGACGATAGGACATTTCGTGATGAAGCAGATATTGGTTATTGATTTATTGTATGTGGTTATTGTTCGGGACGAACAATATTAAGGAGGGGGCAGTGAAAGTCACGTCTGAGAGGCGATCCACTATGTCATATGGGCCTTCCCATGGAGATGACAACTTAGGAGACTTCCCTTTGGTCTTCCTGGGATTATACCACCATACTTTGTCTCCTGGTACAAAGCTGACTTTAGTAGATCTCTTATCATAAGTTAACTTCGTCGAATCAGCAGACGTTTTCAAGTTTGAACACACTTGATGGTGAATATCATCCATCCTTTCCGATAACACTTTCACAAACTCTGACACATTCTCAGGCAACTCTTAAAAGCGAATTAGATACATGAAAGGATGATCTATTGTATTTTACACAGGGAGGATACATTAACCATCGACTTAATCAGCCCCAGACAATGGCAAGCCCCTTCCAGAGCCCGCAGCTAAACCCTAATGCAGACATCTTCAGTCCTGTTAGAAGTCACATCCCAGATATGAATGTCAGTACTAGGAGTGATTCAGTAAGAAGGAAGCCACAAGATTACGATGGGAAAGCACCGTGGGAAGCATGTAGAGCACAGTCTGAGCTACTGGCAGAGATGAATGAATGGACAGAGGAGTAGAAAGCAGTATATCTGACAACGAGCTTGAAAGGACAACCACTGGAAATACTTGGACAATTGTCAGCAGATGGCAGGCACAACTATAGAGCACTGGTAGCGGCTCTAGAACTCAGGTACGGAACCCAAAATCAGTCGGAAGTCTACAGGGCTAGGTTTAGGACGAGAATCCGTGCTAAAGAGGAGAGCCTGCACGAGCTGGCATAGGATTTGGAAAGCATGGCACACAAGCCCTACCCAACTGCACCACACGATCTCCTTGGGTTGTTGCTGAGGGATCAGTTCGTAGATGCCTTGGACAGTCCACAACTTAAGATACAAGTGAAGCAAGCACACCCCTGTA